CCGCTCTCCGCAGGCCGCAGCCCACGAGCTCCCCGGCAGCCCCGACGTGTCCGTCTGCTTCGCCAACCGCTCCGCCGCCCTCTTCCACCTCGGGTGCTTCGAGGTAAGCGGTGGTGGGGCAGCGGGGGACCCACGGCAGCCCCTGCCCACGCCCTCCCCATCCTGGGTGTCCCCGAGCAAATCTGCACACCCAGAAGGTGGCCCGAGGCCTCCTGGAGAGCCAGAGAGGAGGATCGGGTCAAGGAGGAGCCCGAGCACCGCGTGAGGTGTTTCTGCACCGTTTGCCCGCAGGGGTCTGGTGGGTGCATCTGCAGACCTCCCAATGACAAGTATTTGGTTGTTGGAGCAAGAGGCTGTAGCTAAGATGTGCTTTCAAAAAGCATCTGTTATTACTTAAACTTTTTGAAGAGTTCTTGTTTTCCATCTTGTTCTCTGTCAGGAGGCTTTATTTGGCCAATGGGTCGGCTGTGCACATGAAATACACGGATTAATATATTCTTAGTAAAATATTCTGCATATTAAATGGAATAAAAGAGCATGAGTCTCAGCTGGTTTGCAAGTCCATTGTAAAGGCCTTGTCTTTGTTCCTAGGTTTGTTTGGAAGATATTGCCAGGGCTGAAAGTCATGGCTATCCAGACAGGCTGCTGCCCAAGGTCTTGCTGCGGAAAGCTGAGTGCCTGCTGTGTTTGGGGAGGTTACAGGATGCAGCAGATGCCCTCAGTGTGGTGGAGAATAAAATTGCTGTGGATGGGATCATGAGTAGTCCTACACAGCAGACGCTGCTAAAAAAGTTAAGTCAACTGAAGGTTAAAATACATGAGAAAGAGAGTTGTCCAGAGCCTGCACAAGAAACATGTGGTGACACTCAAAGACTGTCAGAGATCTGGGAAGAGAATGACAGGATTGCAGGTGCATCTTCATCTTTGAGCTTGAATTTTGATCTAGAGAGAGGCCGTCACTTGGTGGCCTCCCAGGACATCCTGCCAGGACAGAGCCTGTTGAAAGAGGAGGCCTTTGTAAGCGTGCTGTGCCCGGGGGAGAGCCTTCTTCTGCAGGACAGCAGAGAAACCACCTGGGATACTGGAGTCACAAATGCAGATCTTTATTGCCACCGTTGTCTGAGGCAGCTCTTGGCCTCAGTGCCTTGCCACGGGTGCAGTTATGCCAAGTACTGCAGTCAGAGCTGTGCAGACATGGCATGGGAGCAGTACCACAGCACAGAGTGCTCCCTGGGAGCCCTGCTTCTCACGTTAGGGGTCTTCTGCCACGTTGCCTTGAGGACTGTTCTGCTGGCGGGATTTGCAGAGGTTAGCAGGCTGGTGGAATGGTCCCACGAGGGTGACAAGGACCTTCATGATCCTGAGGCAAGATGCCAACGTCTCGGTGAGGCCCTGGGCACAAGAGCTGGCACCAGAGGCATCCCTGGTTGTAACCATGATGGTCAGTACCAGAGTTCTTACCAAGCTGTGTTCAACCTTTTGCCACATGCCGAGAAGCACAGCCCTGAACACAAGTTCCTTTGCATGCTGAGTGTAGTAGCTATATGCAAACAGCTGCAGGAAGCTGGCCTAGAGGCTGCTGTTTTGGATCAGGAATCACCTGAGAAGTGCTCCAAACCAAAGACCTGTGAAAAAACATCGGGTGAATTGTCTCTAGAGCTGCAGACCATGGCAGAAGCAATGCTGAGGCATGTGTTACAGCTGCAGTGTAATGCACAAGCCATCACTGTAATGCAGGAGTCGGGTAAGATAAAAGCTTGTAAACCCTTCTCTGTTGTCCTCAATCACCTAGCATGTGTGAAGAGGTTGAATCATCAGTTGCAAAAAGCTCCCATTGCAGATGGGAATGACTTGCTTAAAATGTAATGACCTGTCCTATGTTGGCCTGCTCTTTGGTGCACATATAGAGGGTGTTTGGCTCTTATTTATTGCAGCAATAGACCAGAAACCTTTCTGCTGCTACGTGTGGTTGGTCGTGGTGCTCGTTGCGTAAGCTGCGTGGGTTACTGAGTGTTCATTCCCAACCTGCTTGTTTCCCTGGGTTGTTAGGGTCTGGAGGTGGTGCTGTGGTCAGTGAGGAGCCTGTGCGCCTGGCGACAGCCTTCTTTCCTGTCCTCAGCCTTCTGAACCATTAAAAATTTACTGGGACATCTGCCACTGTCAGGGCATCGGAGCCAATCCCAAGTGGCCAAGAGATTTTCCATTGCTATGGTAAGTATTAACTGTCTCAAGGCACAGACATCCTTTCACCTCTACTTGGCATGCTAGCTGATTGCTATTAATATCATCATTCCCAGTTGCTAGAGTCTTTGTTTATATAGAAGGCTTGATCAAAGACATCAGCACGAGATTTTATCTCCTGAGCCCACTGTTATATTTTCAACCTCCAGTTATTTCTTCTTCAAAAGAAAAGATGAGATGTCTAATCTCAATTATAACAAAAGATAGATTTAGTCTGATGTCAAGAACTGTTTCTGCTTAAAGATTTCTACCCTTGCCATCCCTTTGCAGGGCCTCACCGATGTAGAATGAGAATTGCTGAGAGACAACAGCTTCTCAGACAGTATTTCTTTGAGTGTCACTGTCAGGCATGCCTTGATGAGTTAGAACCTGATGCCAAGAGTGTGGTGTCTGTGAGAAACTCATTCTGCTGTCCTGGCTGCCAGGCTCCACTGCAGGTATTTCTTCCATAGTTCTGACTGTATAATTTAGTGGGATGTGTAACTTTTGGGTCTCTGGGAGAGTCAAGACTTAGAGACCTCAGTCCATCATCTCTGCTCAGAAGGCAAAAGCCCCTGTAGGGTCAAGACAGTATCTCACTGTTCTTAGCAGCTTTCTGTGTGTCAGTCTTACAGCATTATAGGGAAAACAAGGCCTTTAACAGCAAGTTAAAATCCCTTTGAACTTGATGGGGGAGCTTTAGAATATCAGGGCCATGGACAAGGGAGATAAGGCTATTTAGGAATGAAAACAGAGGCCTGGAGTCTAGAACAGAATGAGTACACCCAGGAGCTGTATGGGGGGAGTGTCACACTCTCTGCAGTTCACAGGATGCAGATGAGAACAGGAATGGAATGGGTTAGGTGGGGAGAAGTCAACATGACGTGTGTTCTGTAAAACACTGGTTCTGTACTACCTGACCCTGCTTTGGCCTGATCTTTAGCTCACGTAGTCATAGCTATTTCTGGAAGTTTCTCATAAAATCAAATAAGCTAACAGGAATTTCCAGGCAAGTCACTGTGTTTAATGAATGCAAATGAGAAACAATTTAGCATCTCTATAGCACAACACAGAGATAACAGAGGTGGAAAGGAAGCTTTGAATCGAACATGAGCAGGCATC